TAAGGGGGAAACGAACAGATCAGGCCACAAGGGCATCTGCCCCCAGCAAGACAACTTCAATGCACCGGGTCGGGAACATAGTGGTTGAAGCAAAACAGAGACCATTGTCCCCTGGCCACTGCCTCCCTGATAGGATTGTAAGGGATTCCTCAGCCTTCTTCCCTGTCACTTTCACTTCTTTCCCTTTTGGTCCAGATTGATTTACAGGAGCCTAGATGTTGCTTGAAGGCAATGGCACCCACTCCAGTACTCTTGCCTGGAAAATCCCATGGACGGAGGAGTCTGGTGGGCTGCAGTCCCTGGGGTCGCGAAGAGTCAGACATGACTGAGCGACTTCACTTTCACTTTTCACTTTTCTGCACTGGAGAAGGAAATGGCAACCCACTCCAGTGTTCTTGCCTGGAGAATCCCAGGGATGGGGTCGCACAGAGTCGGACAAGACTGAAGTGACTTAGCAGTAGCAGCAGTAGATGTTGCTTTCATGGCCCTCTGTCAGAATCCGAACTTGAGGGGCTCAGGCTGCATGTGTCTTTCTGTTGCCTCCCTATCTCCTGCCCCCTCTGTCTCTCTCCATCAGATTTCCTAGACACCCCCTACTCAACCTTTCATATCCACATGACCTCTAGGAAAGGATTCTGAGGTTCCCTTTTGTCCAGGTCTTTCTCCTATATTCAAAAGACTGAAGAATCAAAAACTCTCCTAACATTCTAAAGTATTCCCTTCTAACTACGCTTATCTCTCAGGTGGCTGCTCCTAAGTAGCTTCAGTTGTGTCTGACTCTGTGCGACCCCATAGACGGCAGCTCACTAGGCTCCCCTGTCCCTGGGATTCTCCAGGCAAGAACACTGGAGTGGGTTGCCATTGCCTTCTCCTCTCTCAGGTGGAAAGGGAACCAGATTTCCCCCACTCCAGAACATCCTAAAGAATTCCCTTCTAACTACTCCTGTTTCTCAGGGTGGGGAAGGACCACGCTTCCCCACTCCTGCAAATTCCCTTAGCCCTTCAGATTCTTCTGATGGGACAAAGACCTCACTTCTCACCAAAGGGACAATCCAAGATTTTCATCAGCTGATCTGCCCCTGATATCAGAGTCAATTTGAGCACTAGTTGGTCTTTATTTTAGCTATAAAACTATGACCACAGAAAGGAAAGATGACTTTTTGACACAGGATGGCCATGATTTTCTTTAGACTCTGGAGAAAACTGGTTAAAATGAATTTTTTTTCTTGGAAACTGCAAAACCAGTTCTTTTTGCATATGCAGTTAAAAACAACTAGCTTGTTAAAAGGCCTGCCTAGGGAAAAGCTTGAGGTTAATCCTTTCATGTCCTTGAAATACACAGCCCATTTGCCTGAGACCTCAGCCTTGGGCAAATTGGAACTTCGAGCAAAGAAAAAAAGGGGGAAGGGTCAAAGAGACATTTTAAATCTCAAGAAGCAAACTATGAGATCTCTGTCTGTCTGTCTGGATTTATGTATGTCTCAGTGTGTGTCTTTTTTTTTTTTTAATATTGCTGAAGCTGTAAATGAGTTCTAACTTAATTGGCCTAAAGAAAAGTAAGTGCTTACAAATCAGACAATTTCTAAATACAAGAGAAATTAACCTAAATGAATTTCAGATTCACGTGAACTGGGAAATAGTCAATATTAAATATCTAATATTAATGTTTGTTTGCTAACCTAATATAGACATGTCTAAGAGTCATTAACATGAAGCATATTTTCATTGTGCCTAGGGTTATTATAAGTTAAATATTGTTATTTTTTTTGTTATATTGTTATATCTGTTACAAGTTTGTCAGCAAGGAAAGTACCTCAAGTGAAGAAACTTCAAAAAAAAATGTAATGAGATAGGAGCTTTTAGATAAACTATTAAGAATCATTATACTTTAGAAATGTCTCTCTAAAACAGTCCCTCTAGATTTTTGTAACCTGAATTTCTCGGGCTGTGTAAACTAAGTGACTGATTTATTGAATACCTAGATCATTTCCAAATAAAATAAGATTCTGAAACATTCATTACTGAACACTAATTTCCTCTTACAGAGAAACTAGAGATTTTGGACTATTAATGAATAATGTTTGATGCCATCCTGAGATGTTCTCTAGAATTTTTTTGGAAATTGTCACTGGTATTTACGTTCACCAATCTGTAGAATGCTAATATAAAGGTCAGTTCTTGGTTGCTTAAGGAAAGTACGATGTGTGTTTTCAGTAAAGAAGGTATGAGGAATGAAATTACATTTTATGAAGGGAAAAGGAAGTAAGTCTGACTTACAGGTGGCTGTTTCAGGATGGGGGAACAAAGTAATGGGTACAGAAAGTGTTAAGAAGTTTTGATGGAAAGTGCACTCCAAGGGAAGAGTTTTGTGCATAAATACAAGTTTTCTTGAGATGTTGAACTGCCTCTGATAACGGATTTTAAGTTTCTTTACCTCTGAAGTGATCTATGTTTACCTTTGAAATCTTCTTTGTTACTTTGGCTAAGTGAATATATTATTTCACAGTGACTTATATGATCCTATCTGACTGACATATGACCTTACTAATAACTGCTAGCTATAGATATATTATTTTCTATGTCACTTGTTTCAGAAGATTGTTTCTTATATTACCAAATGTGGGACTGAGCCTGTGATAAAATGCTGATATGCAGTTCCATATGAGATCAATGACTGTAATAATGTAACTCTAGATATAGGAAGAAGCAACAAGAGGGAATATTTTCCTGGACCAAGAGGCTGGTAAGACAGGCATGGTCCAGAGACTTTTGCTACTCGCAAGGCCTGGTCCAGTAACAGCACACTGAGGGGCCTGTCAATGGAATCTTCATTAGACCTGGGAATGAGCCTTCCCAGCACCACGGGACACAATGGCCATGAAATGCCCCCAAAGCGTGGTCAGATATGTGGCTATGAAGGGACCCTGCTGACTGGAAGTTGACACTTGCCAGCTGCCTCTACAAGGATTACATCATGACCACTGCAAGCTGCTGACCTTCAACATCCCCTGAAAGGAGTTCAGGGTGGAGATCAGAAATAAGGCACTCTGTGCTCGGGAAAAACCCAGAAGAACTGGCCTTCAGATGGTCAGATGTTTTCAGGTAAAGATTTTATGAGCCCAAATTCTTGCATCTTCTCATACCTAGAGAAGCACTAATGTCACGAACCAATGTCTAGTCCTGATTCTCCTGGCGAGCTCTTCAGCAGCTTTTCTACTTCTATTACTCTTTGGGTCACGTACCTTTAACTTTCTCATTAAGTTTGTTTCTTCTAGAATACAACAAATCTCCAAGTGGTAGTATGACAAGAATGTTCCCTGGCCAACACCCAGACAATGCTGAAACAAGCTGCCTTATCACTTCATGGACTTTCATCTCCCTCTGTAAATGCACCCTGACAGAGAGCAGGCGAAGGGAACCCAGAGCACCTCTGTACAGCCTGAAGAAGCCAGAGTGATCATCGCCCGTTTTCCTTTGAGACTGGGTTCCCAAGTGCCTAAGAAGTGAAATAGGTAGGTAGTTAGACATGAGCAGGGTATCAAAAGAGGCCAAAGAATCGGCCCTAAAAATAGAGGGAGGACTGTGGTGACCCAAGGATGAAAGAGCAGATAAAACCAAGGAGGGTCTTGGAATGCAGGAACAGAAAAACCAGACCCTTATCATCCTTCCCTCCCGCATGGAACAGTATATATTATATACTATATACTGTGTACATTATATATATACTACTTATTAATGGAACAGTATAACCTATCTCCCCTCCTATCCCATAGAGAAAAGGTATTTGCCCTACTCTTTCCCCACCCAGTATACATGCCTCATCCAATCAGTAAATGACTGCAAGACCCCCATCCCACTGCTTGTACCCTGGGTATAAAAGTGGACTAAGGACCCCCATTAAACCTCGGTTTTCCCTTGAGCAGGCCCGCTATTCTAACAGCATCTCCCACTCTAATAAACTTTACTTTCCCTCTCACTGTCTCATGCCTGGAAACTCCTTTCCAACCCACGCCCAGACCACGATATCTATGAAATTTTCCCTTAGATATGCAACTTAACTACCTAAGGGTTAGTATACTCAAAGCAGGGAATGCGTATTAATTTCCCCTAGTTTGAATTCCCCTCAGGGTGTACTGTCAGTGAGCGCACTGCAGTGGGTTGAAGCTTAATCCTTATAAAACTCTTAAGACAGGCAACTTTTTTTTTTTTTTTTTAAATTTGGGGGGCTTGCTGTGGCTCAGCTGGTGAAGAATCTGCCTGCAAAGTAGGAGACCTGGGTTCGATCCCTGGGTTGGGAAGATCCCGTGGAGAAGGGAAAGCCTACCCACTCCAGTATGCTGGCCTGGAGAATTCCATGGACTGTACAGTCCTTGCGGTCGCAAAATCAGGACACTGAGCGGCTTTCACTTTGTGGCTTCCCTGGTGGTTCAGATGGTAAAGCGTCTGCCTGCAATGTGGGAAACCTGGGTTCAATCCCTGGGTTGGATGACCTGGAGAAGGAAATGGCTACCCACTCCAGTGCTCTTGCCTGGAAAATCCCATGGACAGAGGAACCTGGTAGGTTACAGTCCATGGGGTCGCGAAGAGTCGGACACGAATGAGCGACTTCACTTTCTCTTTGTGGTGGTATAAACACAGGTGCACAAATGGACCGAGTTTGTCTTGAAAGAAGAGTTCAGGGGTTGTGGGTATTTAAACCAAAGGCCCGCCAATAAGAAAGGAAAGAAGATACTAGGGTATCCCTCCATCTCGTCGCTGGCGGTGCCATTGCCTGATCCTCGCTCACTTGCCGGGCTCAGGCCGGGATGGGGGTCCGGGTCTAACGTGGAGTCTCCCTCCAAGGATTGGAGCCCGGGCCTGACCCGGAAGCTTTTCCGCGACCCCGGAAGCAGAGCCCAGGGGCGGAGGCGCCGCCTATGAGCCACCGCCCCCTCGCCGCCTGGCCGCTGCTTCAGGGAACCGCGGCGGCGCCGGGTTGCACTGATGATCCCCGGCAGGCGGCGGCGGCAGAGGCGGCGGGAGGATGACCTCTCCCCGCGAGCGGGGTGCCGATCTGGCCCGATTCTACACTGTTACGGAGCCCCAGCGACACCCGAGGGGCTACACGGTGTATAAGGTCACCGCCCGGGTGAGTGCAGTTGCCGGGCGGGGGTCGGAGTCTGATCAGGGACGAGAGACAGGCGTGGACCCTGGTGTGGGGATGCCGGATGCCAGGTTGCGCCTAATGCCGGGACAGGCGCCCTAGGTGGGGACTTGAAAAAGGATGCGGTAGGGGCAGAGCGTGGGGAGTCCCGGACCGCGCTGGAAATGGTCTCAATAGTGTCCCCATTCCAGGGTGGGGCAGACGTTGATGATTTTTAATAGATGACTCAGCCCCATCCCACTTGGACTTTCTCTTCCGAGGCTGAAATATGCAGAAGCTGTTTTGCTTGTCTCTTAGGGATAATGCAGGTTTAAAAAAAAAAAAGTGTTAAATTGATGTACTATTTGACTTACGTAATAGAGGGTATTTCTTCCCTTCCTTCTGGGTTGCACAGAAGCAGATAAACCCTTGGGAAGTATGTCAGTGGTAGGGCCACCATCCTAGGACCTCTGTAACTGCTTGTGTCTTTTCGCCTCTGAATTTTTCGTGGTTTTCCGTAGGAGACATGAGAAATTCTGCTAAGGGTGTCTTGTGTGAGTTGTCTTGAGAGCGCATTTGAAAGTTGTGAGGCTCCTTTATATCGACTGATTGATACAGTTTTTAGTACCCACTTTGTTCATGTTTCATTGCTCTTTCGTTGAGTTTTAGAGTTTGTGTCTTCCTCCTCATCATTAATGTGTCCTCATCATTGTGTCTTCCTCATCATTAATTGTTAAAAAAGAGAGGTACAGAGAGTAGTAATATTACAGTATACGTTTGGGGGATGTAGTACTCTTGGGTGACAGATCAGGAAGTGGGCCTTGAAAAGAACCTTAAAGGTTAAATAGATTTAGATCTGCAGAGTTTGGGGCATGGGAATGGCATATGCTTTTTGGAATTGGTGCACAATTCAGACAAGTGTAAAAGTATAGGATGGGCAAATTTGTGTAAATGTAGTAAGACCAGGCCTGGTTATTGCAGAGGGTTGTACCAAGAATACAGAGAAAATTGTTACTCTCTGTTTGCATGTAAAGTTGTTATATAGGTGGAGTGTTAGTTTCAGCTTAAGAAAAAATTTCAAGATTAAGGGTGCTCTTACTATAGCCCCCTTGAAAGCTTCTTTTGGCCCTTCAGAAACCTAGGCTTGGTTTCCTAACATAGTTTGTGAAATCAGAACAATTTTCAACATACTTAATGCCCTAACTCTAATGTTCCCCCTCAGAGCACCCTGTTCCTCTCCTATTATAACACTTATCACAGTTATAATATATTGTATTAATCTGTTTGCTTGTCTGTGTCTCTCAGATTTAGAGCAGGTCACTATCATTGGCATTTGTTTCCTTTTGTATCTCCCAAGGCATTGTGGGGCACAGAGTGCCTAAAAATTATTGTTTTCCTCTGTGTTTTAGGTAGCACATTTACTAAATGTTAAGTTTCAGGTACTATGATCTCTGAGGGTTACAAGGCAGAATAAAGTGTGGGCCTTCTTTTCAAGGATACTTATAGTTTACTGTACTTGAAGTAGAGTGCAAGGTAGAAGGTGTTAAATGTCATAAAAGACTACAGAAAAGAGCTGTGGGGTTTCAGAATACAGAGTTTCTAGCTCAAGGGATCAGGGAACATGTACCAATTAAGATAGGTGGTGAGAGATGGGAGGAATCTAAATGGGTGGGAAAAGTGGAAAGGGCATTGCAGGTAGAAGGAATGTGTGAATGTGTGTAGAACTTGAAAGAAACTGAATGTGATTATTACTTGTAGTCTTACTTTACAAAAGGAATGGTTAATCTAACTGAGATCTTAAATATCTTTTTTAAAGCTGTAAACTAACATATGACAACATCAATTAGAAGATAAAGTAGCACATTGCCTGTTCTAACCAGATCTGTGTAATATGCATATTAGTTATCTCTGTAGTTATTTAACTGGAAATTGCTTACACTGTCTTTTTTTCTCCTTGTAAATATTTTTGTCCTCATTTATTGCTTATGGTACAGATTTTATTTTCTGATTTTAAAGATTGAGGATTAATAAAGAGATATACCTAAAAAATAACTGCTTAATAGTATAAAATATAAGTAAAATATTTGTTATTTTTTGAGACTTAAAGAGAAAAACATCTTACCTCAGGAGAATTTATCAGGTAAGTAGTGCTCCCCTGAGAGAACTTTGTGAGATAAAAGTGTCCTGTTTATGTTCCCTATTACTGACTGAATTATACCATTAAGGAACAATCTCTGTATTCTTGATTCTTGCAAGGTTCTTTATTTAAGAATAGAATTAGAATCATGGGAATTACTGTTGCTAAGTTTCGGGTAGTGTAAGAGCTGTTTCATGTTCTTAAATCTCCTTTATACTTTTTTTTTTCCCCCCAGTTCTCTGAAAGCTGGCAGGCTTAGATAACCTTATGGCCAGTTACAAGCTTGCTAACGGATTTCCTAGTTAAATCCTGTGTTGCTTATTACTTTTCATCTTGAATAAGTACTTCTGTTCAGCATTAGAACGTTCTTTTGTAGATTTCCATTGATTGTTTAGTTAAAGGAGACGCAGATGTAAAAGAACCATTCACATAGTGTTTTTGGTTGTTTCATCATGCTAAGTTTACAAAATTTGGATAAGGTAATATAGATTTCTTAACTGTATTAAGTAAATAGTAATTCTTGCCTGTATTCTTTCATGAATATGCAAAGAAAATCTTACGTTTCTATTTTTGAAAGACAGTGCTGCCTTGTGACTTCGTTTCTATTGAGGCATAATTTATATGCAGTCAGGTTCACCGATCTTAAGTGTGCAGTTGGACGAGTTCTGACACGTGTCTGTATTGTGTAACCACCACCGCCCCAGTCGTCACTGCAGGAGTTCCCTCGTGCTCCTTTGCAGGCAGCCCCCCCTCCCCAGCCCTGTCCCTCGGCAGCCGCGGGTTAGCTTTCCGTTGTTGTCCTGCGCTTTTTTGTGGAGGAGGGATCTGACTTCTTTAACTCAGCATGGTTATTTGAGATCCGTCTTTACTGTGCGTTTTTATTCTCCTTTTTTGCTGCCCAGTATCCCCTCGTGGGCTCCCCTGGTGGCTCAGTGGTGAAGAATCCACCTGCCGTGCAGGAGAGCAGGAGGCGTGGATTTGACCCCTGGGTCGGGAAGATCCTTCAGAGGAGGGCATGGCAGCCCACTCCAGTATTCTTGCCTGGAGAACCCCATGGACAGAGGAGCCGGACAGGCTATAGTCCGTAGGGTCGCAAAGAGTCGGACATGACTGGAGTGAGTGAGCACGCACGCACATTCCCGTGTATGGTTATGCTAGGTTAATCCATCCACATTTGGCTTGATGGATATTTCAGTTTCCAGTTTTTGGCTATTATTAGTACAGCTACTATGAAAATTTATGTACAAGTGTCAGTGAATGTGGGCTTTTATTTCTTTTGATAGCACACAGCCTTTTTATACCTTTATACTAAGATGACATCTGATAGTCTTAGTCCTCTTTCTTTCTCAAACTTATGTTGGTTATTTTAGATTGTTTGCATTTTTAGAAAAACTTTGGAATCAGCTTGTTAAACTGCAAACATGCCTACTCAGATTTTGACTGGAATTACATGGAGAATGTGGGGCTTTCCTGGTCACTGGTGGCTCAGTTTTATAAGAATTCATTTGCAGTGCAAGAGCCAAAGGATGTGCAGGTTTGATCCCTGGGTCAGGAAGATCCCCTGGAGGAGGGCTTAGCAACCCACTCCAGTATTCTTGCCTGGAGAATCCCATGGACAAAGGAGTCTGGAGGGCTACAGTCCATAAGGTTCCAAAGAGTTGGACATAACTGAAGCGACTGAGCACACATGCATGCACGTTGAGAATGTAGATCAGTTTAAATAATATTAAATCTTCTAATCCATGAACACAAATGTTCCATTTATTTAGCTCTTTAATTTGAGCGATATTTTCCAGTTTTTGGTGTGCAGATCTTGCACATAATTTGGGTTTGTTTTCGAACTATCAGAACACATAAGTATTTTACATAGCATTTGCTGAGTATTAATAGCGCACACTTCTGTGGTGCTTAGAGTAAGTCAAGCGCTATTCTAAGCACGTTGTATAAATTAGCACATTTTTCATGGCAGTGCCATGAGTAGGTGTAACTATTATTCTCACATTCTCACGTGAGGAAATTGAAGCACCTCCATGTTAAATAACTTGCCTAGGGTCACATGACAAATGGTGGAGTTTAGATTTGAACCCTGGTAGTCTACCAGTCAGAGTGCTTTTTAATCCCAGCGCTGTGCTGAGTTCCTAAACACACTTTATTAGAGGCTGTGGGTACACTGTAGTTTGCAAAAGTGATAGATGCAAATATACTACCGTGATTAGGATGTTGTGAACAAAGGGGAACAGGAAATGAATAGAAGTACTCGACTTGAATCTGAAAATTGCCTCTTCCAAAGCTTCAAATTCAAGCACTATTGTATTGCTTGGAGGGAACCTGCTCCCAATTCCTGACCACATTGTTGTATGGGATGCTTGTGCTTGGAAAGGTAATTATCTGTAGTTTCCTAAGTATGTTGGTACACTGAGTTTTTCGTGTGTGTGCCGTGGGCATGCGTGCGCGCTCTGCCGTATCTGACTCTTTGCGATCCTGTGGGCTGTACCCAACCAGGCTCCTCTGTCCGTGGGATTTTCCAGGCAAGAATATTGGAGTGGGTTGCCATTTTCTCCTCCAGATCTTCCCAACCCAGAGATCGAACACGCATCTGCGTCTCCTGTGTCTCCTGCATTGGCAGGCAAATTCTTTATCACTGGGAAGCATGCTTCCTTGCCTTTCTGTTAGATGTGGTTTTCTCAGCCTGGAGTGTGCTTCCATTCTGTCTTGGCAATCGCTGCTATCTCAAGTGACCTCTCCTGCCCTGTGTTCTACAGGAAGGCTTTCTTAAATGGAGAACTCTGTGTTTATTAGGTTGGTGCAAAAGTAATTATGGTTTGCATTGTTGAACTTTGCTGTTTGATATTGGAATACATTCTTAAAT